CCATGCCCAGCACTAGTTCCATTTTAATTACCTCTTTTTTATTTTATTCTGGAAAAAATATCCCAACATGAACTATGCCTATGTCTCTAGTTCCTGCAAATCAACTTTTTTTTTTTTTGGTCCGGGGATTGAACTCGGGTCCTTGCACTTGTGCAGCAGGCGGCAAAACCACTGAATTTTTTATTTTTTGAGACAGTCTTTCTGTGTAGTTCAGGGTGGTCTTGAACTCACTGTGTAGCCCAGGCTGGCCTGGAACTCACACTGATCCTCCAGGCTCAGCTTTGGTGCTGGGTGCTGGGATTACAGGCCTGCTGTACCACACCAGGCTCCATTTTTTCCCCACTGACTTCAGACTATAGAACAGGAAGTTTGTGTATTGTCCCTCAACCCTTTCTCAAACCTCTAAAAGCGAAGTCCTTCAACCACGGCTACTAAGTTTTTTACTTTCTTTTTTTTTTTATGATTCAACAATTAAGTTTTATTTTCTCAATATAGTTTATTGTCAAATTTATATATTACTTATAATGGTAAATGCTCTAAAAAGGATATTTAAAAAAAATGGAACGCTTCATGAATTTGCATGTCATCCTTGTGCAAGAGCCATGCTAATCTCTGTATCGTTCCAATTTTAGTATATGTGCTGCTGAAGCAAGCACAAGTTTTTTGCTTTCATAGAGTTCATTGGGGAGAGTTTGTTGCCCAGCCCAGTTCTCTCTTCGGCTCTATCAAGGACATTTACCTTTTTCACCCCAACTCAGGTTTGTCTCTGACCACCTTATCTTTCCATTTCCCTTTAATGATTGGGTGAGAAAGTAAAAAATCCACCCTCCCATACTGGGGATTAAACCCAGGGCCTTTTTTTTTTTTTTTTTCAGTACCGGGGATCAAACTCAGGACCTTGCACTTTCGAGGCAGGCAGCAGAACCACTGAGCTAAACCCCCTGCCCCTCCTTTCTTTCTTTGTCAGAGGTTCTGAGCAATTCTAATCCTTATTCTCTGATTCTTCCACCAGGGTATCAAGGGCCAAACCCATGTCCACCCAACCCTGGGTGCCCTGGAGGTGCCTATCCTGTGTGTCCACCACATGCACCACCTGTCAATCCAGCCTTTCCTCCTGGCTCCTGCCCCCCACCCCCAGGAGCTCCCCCGGGGAATCCATGTGGGCCTGGTTATCCTGTGCCCCTGCCGGGGTGTCCAAGACCCCAACCCTCAGGTCCCTATCCTCCTCCATGCCCTGGCATGCCTCCTGTGAATCCTTTGGCCCCTGGCATGGTGTGCCCAGGGATGGTGATGGATAAGAAGATGCGGAAGAAAATGAAGAAAGGTCATAAAAAGGGACACAAACACCACAAGCATGGCAAGGTCAGTGCCCTTAGGAGCTGGGCTAGGGAAGGGGTGCTGCCCCTTAGAGGGATAGGCAGGCAGGGGTTGAGTCAGAGGGAGTCGGTCTGTGGCTATAGGAGAAGGGGTTTTACGAAGGAAGCCCAGAATAGGCAGCAGAGTCAAAAGCCCATCTTGGCTGCCTTACTGACTCAGAACCTTGGCCCCTCCCCCTCAGGTTCAGGCTTTGGCAAGTTGGGCGCACCCACCGAAATTGTCCAAATGTCAACTAATTGAGTCAGTCTTTTGACAAAGTCTTATATAATAATTAACAATAATAATCTGGCCCAGGTTCCTTTCTCTGTGTCAAAGTTCCCTGGGTGTTGTGTTAATTACATAGGCAGTTTCTACTCATGACTCAGCCTCAAACAAAGCCTAGGCTTAAGGAGTTCATACTCAGCCCCAAAGAGAAGTATCTTCCTTCTGCAGGAGTGTTAATTGGCAAGAATAGGAGCAGCTCTGAGGAATTAGAGAAGGAAGAAACCAACCTGAATCTTGGAGAGGCCTTACATTACATTGCACTGCTCAGTATTTGCTTTGTAGATTTGGCCTCTCATTCCTTTTTTTTTTCTTTCTTTTTTTTTTTAAATTTTGGTACAGGGGTTTGAACTCAGGACCCTGTACTTACAAGGCAGGCGAGGTGCCACTGAGCTAAATCCCTGGCCCTTAAAAAAAGTCCTTTTGGTTTTTGAGAAAGAGTCTCTCTATGTAGTTCAGGATGGCCTTAAGTTCACTGTGTATCTCAGGCTGGCTTGAACTCATGGTGATGCTCCTGCCTCAGCCTCCCCAGTGCTGAGATTACAGGCTTGTTGCCACCATGCACAGTTTAGGCTCTAGCTCCTGATTCTGACTCTGGGTCTTGAGAAGGAAAGGTGAGATTGAATGAGGGAGAAATTACCCTGCAGAGACTAAAAATAAAAATTTGTTTGTTTTTTGAGACAGAGTCTCACCATGTAGTTCAGGCTGGTCTTTCTCTTTTTTTTTTTTTGGTACCGGGGATTGAATTTGGGTTCTTGCGCTTGCACAGCAGGCGGTGAAACCACTGAGCTAAATCCCCGACCCTACTGGTCTTGAACTCACTATGTAGTCTAAGCTGATTTCATCTGGTATTTTTTTTTTTGGTACTGGGGATCGAACTTGGGTCCTTGCCCTTAATCTAAGCTGACTTCAAACTCTCAGAGATCCTCCTGCCTCAGCCTTCTTCTTCTTTTTTTTTTTTTTTTTGGTACTGGGGATTGAACTCAGGTCCTTGCGCTTGCGCAGCAGGCATTGGAACCACTGAGCTAAGTCCCCGGCCCTGCCTCAGCCTTCTAAGTGCTGTGATTACAGGCATGTGGCACCTTGCCCAGCTAAAAAATGTTTTTAATGCTAGCATTGATGGGAGTATGTCTGTATGGAATCTTCATAGGAGTGCCCAGCCTTCTCTCCCACTTTTCCCACTTTCTTTTTGTTGGGGCTTAGGGTAAAAATAGAGATTGACACATGCAGCTGACGTTTGTACTCTTCTTAGATTCATATAATCTAATTTGTTAGATTCAAAGGGACTTGGCATGCAACTAATCTATAGACATTTATACAGTAACAGCTGTTTTCTAACACTGTACTGTGCTTGTGCCTATAATGTATTCCTTGCCTTCATCTTGGCTCAGGTATGAAAATGTGGAAACCTGATTCAAAGATACTATGTTAAATTCTGTGCAGTGGTTGTAGGATGATTTAATCCAATCCTGTATTGCTCACTGCTGATGGAACCCTGGCTTTTGTGGTTTAAGGGACAGTCTGGTCAAGATTCCCACTCTTTGGATACTTGGGTGGAGGGCTGAGGTACCAAAGAATGGCCCACAGAGTGATCGAAGGTCATTTGGATCTGATACTATGTCCTTTCCCCTTTCCCCTTTGCAGCATTCCTCCTCTTCCTCCTCTTCCAGCAGTGACTCTGACTGAACACAGGGCCTGGACCCTCCCCTGGAGTGTCACCAGTCCTGCTCTCCCATCAAGCTTCAGCTGCTGCGCGTAGAGCTGGGGGAGATTAGCCCTTGTGCCCCCACCTTGCCCTGCCCCACCCTTCTCCTGCTCTTCAGCCCTGCCCCCTAGGAACATGGGAAGAGGACTGCCCTGGGATAGCAAAGACCATCCTCTCACTGCTTGATAGATCTATAGCTGAGCTAAATGCTGAAAATAAGCTTACAATCTGTAAAATGTGATCTTTTTTGCACTTTCTTTTGTAGTACTTACAGTTGGGGGGTTTGGGGGAAATTTCATGACGATGGAAAACCTGTACTTCTTTTGTAATGATGGCACATTGGGGTGACTTAGTGACAAATATATTTGCCAGCCTCCTGAATGCTGGGATCACAGGTGTGCATCACCACACCCAGCTTCCAGCAGGTCTTTTATTGATTGTATAACTAAGGCTGCTTGGAAATACAGTAGTCTGTTTGGTTGACGAACCTAACTGCCCTTTTAGAAGCTTATCTCTATCGTTACCTCAGACTATTTCAGGTCCTACTCATGCTCCAGCTTTCAGTGCAAATAAAACTATTTCTCCTGATCTCTGTTAACCATTACCTTGGCTGGGCTCAGCACATTGGTCTACTTTGGCTGTCCTGAGGATGCTTTAAAGAATATGAGTTTCAAAAAAAATAAATAAATAAAAATGAGTTTCACCATAAGGAACGAGAATATCAGTAAGGAAGACACCATATGATTCCTATCTTTCTTTCTTTCTTTCCTTTTTTAATTTTTTTCTTCCTGATACTGGGGATCAAACCCAGCAGTACTCTACCGCTGAGCTATGTCCTCAGTCCTTTTGAGACAGAGACTCACTAAGTTCCCCAGGCTGGCCTCAAACTTGCAGTCCTTCTGCGTTAGCCTCCTAAGTAGCTGGGAATGGATATAACATGTTTTTAAAATCTGATATATAGATTTTCACTGCTGGCTGCCCACCAACTGTGAAGAGTAAGGCCTAAATTTACTGAATAAGATTCTTTATGGATATGGCTTTACAAATCAGTATTTTTTTTTTTTGGTACTGGGGATTAAACTCCAGTCCTTGCACCTTTGAGGCAGGTGGCCGAACCACTGAGCTAAATCCCCAGGCCACAAATCAGTAATTTTATGAAACTGGGTGATAAGTCAAGGCAGGTATGGTGGCACAGGCCTAAAATATTGGCACTTAGGAGGCTGAGGCAGGAAGATCACCCTCACAAGCTGGAGGCCAGCCTGTGCTACATAGTTCAAGGCCAGTCTGAACTATGTAGTGAGACCCTGTCACAAAAAAAAACAAAACAAACCTAAGAGGACACTGGTTGATTATATGCCATGCACAGTTCTACCCACTGAGGCTTAGTTTTTGCTATGTAGTCTAGGCTGACCTCCACACATTTCTTTTTTTGGGGGGGGCGGTGCATGTTACGTATTCCAGGCTGGCCTTCAGCACACTGTGTAGATCAGGTGGGCCTCAAACAGCAATCGTCCTGCCTCAGCCTCCCAAGTATTAGAATACAGGCATGTGCCACCATGCCTGGCAACTCATTTGGTTTTTTTTTTTGGTACCAGGGATCAAACTAGGGACCTCGCACTTGTGCAGCAGGTGCCAGAACCACTGAGCTAAATCCCTGGCCCTCTCATTTGGTTCTTTTTTTTTTTGTTTTTTGGTACTGGGGATCGAACTCGGGACCTTGCGCTTGTGAGGCAGGTGCTGGAACCACTGAGCTAAATCCCCAGCCCTCATTTGGTTCTTAAAGATGTGTTGGATGAAGGGAAAAAACATTTATGAGAAATAATTAATAAAAATAGATTCTTTGAAGTACCAGAGGGACAGGAGAGGTGCTGCATGCCTATAATCCCAGCTATTTGAGAGGCTGAAGCATAGAGATCACAAGTTCCAGGCCAGCATGAGCAACTTCATGAGACTCTTACAATGAAAAGAAGGGCTGGGGATGTAGCTCAGCAGTAGAATGCTTGTATATCCTCTAGGTTGCTCCTCAATATTACAGGAGAAAAAAAGAATTATCAGAAAGATGTAACAAATAATTCTCACTAGGAAGGGATGGAGGAAGCAAAGACAAAACAACTTCACCGAAAAAGAGTCATTTGAATATCTCTTGGTCTTTTTTTTTTTTTTTTTGAGACAAGGTCTCACTATGTAGTCCAGGTTGGCCTTGAATTTACGTTGATCCTCCTGCTTCAGCCTCCTGGACACTGGGATTACAGGCTTGTGACACCATGGCTGGCTTTTTTTTTAGGTTGAGAAAGTCTGTTTAAATTCCCCTGCATGTCTTTGAATTGGCAATCCTCAGCCTTCCAAGTAGCTGGGATTACAGGCTTGCACCACCATTCCCTGCTTCTACCTTTTGGATGTTGAGTAAAAAGTATGGGTAGAAAAGAAAAAATAGACTTATCAAGTGGATGGCAGAGAAGAGATTGGAGAAGTCTTTGGTTAGGTCCAGAGTCATGCAGGAAAGCATGTGTGGAAAGCACAGGTAGCCCAAGTTTCAGAAGTTTTAGAGGGGCTAAACTGAGTTCCTGAAAAATTGTCTCCTGAGGAAAATACTGTGTTCCGGTGCTGATGCTGCAAAGATGGATGAAATAGTCCCTACCCTTTGTGATCTGCAAGACTTAATGGAGCAGACAAGCATGCAAATAGGAAGAAAATACAGGAGAAGGACTGTAATAGACATAGAGATCAATCAGAGAGAAACAAAGGGAGGAGTGATAGTCTGACTGAGAAAATGAGCTACAGGGCCAGGGATTTAGCTCAGTGGTTTCGTCACCTGCTGCGCAAGCGCAAGGACCCGAGTTCGATCCCAGGCACCAAAAAAAAAAAAAAAAAACCAAAAAGAAAATGAGCTACGGCTAAGCTGGAGCTCTGCTGAGTAGGAGTTTCCTGCTTGGTAAATATCAACTATTTATAATGTGCCAGGCACTGAGTGCTTTATAACTTGTATAATCTTCATAGCAACTCTGTGAGGCAGACAGTACTATTCCCATTTTGTACTTGAGGTAAATTGAGGTATTATGAAATTATAAACCAGGTATAATGGTGCATGCCTATAATCCCAGCTCTCTGGAAGGCTGAGGCAGGAAGATAGAAAATTCAACCCCAGCCTGGGAAACTTACTGAAATTAAAAAAAAGGCTGGAGATACAGTTGAGTGTGAGGACCTAGGTTCCATTCCGAGTGAAAAATAAAGTTCAAGGTCACATGGCCCATGGTAGTGATGGTTCAGGCCAGGTTAGGGCTCAGGCGGTGTGGCTCTTAACTGCTCTTATCCCAATGGTTTCCATGCAAAAGCAGCAGCCTAGGTAGACTCAGAGCTATAAGAAGGAGTAGGATGAAGTTCAAGAGCACCTGAACCTGTAAACTATGTAAACAGCTGAAAGCAGAAAATGGGGCTGTAGCTGAGGACATGGGCCCCAATGAGTAGATTTGAGAGAAGTTTCAGTGCCTCAGGCTTGGCACTGAGTGCATCCTATATCCATGACCTGTCCCTGCAGAATTATATGAAAGATACTTGAGCTGCCCCTGTATATATTCACATTTATATATAAATATAGAGAGTATAAATATATTTATTTATTTTTTCCTGAGACAGGATCTTGGTGTTGTTCAGGCTGGTCTTGAACTCCTGGCCTCAAGTACTCCCTTGCCTGGACCTCCCAGGTAACTGGGACAACAAGTGCACACTACCAGGCCCAGTGGTAGAGGTCTTGCTTTATTTTAGAGCTGCCTTCTAATTATTATTTTTCAAATACATTTTATTTTATTTTATCCCATTCCCCCTCAACTAATTATTTTTATTTATTTATTTATTTATTTATTGGTTTTTTTAAATGATATCTTTTTTTTTTTTGGTATCAGGGATCGAACTCGGGACCTTGCACTTGTGAGGCAGGTGGCGGCACCACTGAGCTAAATCCCCCAACCTATTTATTGGTTTTTTGAGGCAGGGTCTCACCATATAGTCCAGGCTAGTCTCAAATTCATTATGTAGCCCAGGCTGACCTCAAACTTGAGATGATCCTCCTGCCTCAGCCTCCTGAGTGCTCGGATTACAGGTATGAGCTACTATGCCAGCTCAGCTGCCTTCTAATTATATCAGAACATCCAATGCCAAGGCCCACTTTCCTAGTGTCCTGAATTTTGGTGGCAATTCTAATTTTTTTCTCCCTTAGTCAATGTGTTTTCATTTATCAGCTTTTCCTTTTTTTTTTTTTTTTTGTACTGGGGATTGAACTGTCAGCTTTTCCTTTTTAAGAACAGAGATATGGGCTTAGGAGGATATGAGGTAAAGAGAAATAGATGTTGATAAATAAGCCAGAAACGGGCAATGAGAGGGAGGTAGAAGGAGAAGTCCCAAAGAGGAACAGAAAAGGGCTGTGGTGTAGCTCAGTAGTAGAGCACTTGTCTAGTATGAGTCAGGCCCTGGGCTCAACTCTCCAGCACTGATAAATAAACAAAAAAAAGAGAAATTAGGAAGAAAATTCACTGATCCCCTTCTACCTACTCCTAATGGGAGAGCACATCTTCCCTTACATTTCCCCTTACTGGGATTTCTGAACCATATGCAGAGCACCTTCCTGGTTTTTGTTGCTTTGTTGTCATTTCTCAATTTTTTGTTTTTGTTCTTGTTTGCTTGAAACTGGATCTAACTATGTAGTCCAGGCTGGCCTTGAACTCTCAGAGATCCTCCTGCCTCAGCCTCCAGAATACTGTTGGGATTACAGGTGGCTCTGAATTTTTTAAAAGTGAAAAGTAAGCTGGGTTTGGTGGTGCACACCTGTAATCTCAGCACTAAGGAGGCTGAGGCAGGAGGATCACTGTGAGTTCAAGGCTAGCCTGGGCTACATAGTGAGACCCTGTCTCAAAAAAAGTGAAAAGTAATATTGTACATTCACTTGGGAAAAAATTGCAACTTTTAAATTTTCTTTCTTTCTTTTTGGGTGGTGCTGGGGGACAAACCCAGGCCCTTGTGCAATCTAGGCAAATGTTCCACAGTTGAGCTACACTACTAGCCCTGCAACATTTTAAATAGTGTGTTCAATAAAAAATAAGGTTCTCTTTTTACCCTAGATCTCCCCATGGCAACCATGACTACCAGATTGTTTTGTAAACCTCCAGAGCTATACTGTGGATAGTGAAGTCCCTCTTTAATTCCACCTTACATTGTTCCTATTGCCCCTCTCTCTCTACTTTATAGCAAATGGTAGCTACTATTGGCTCTGTTTTGTTTTTGTTTTTTTTGGTACTGGGGATCGAACTCGGGTCCTTGTGCTTTCGAGGCAGGCGCCAGAACCACTGAGCTAAATCCCCAGCCCAGCTCTGTTTTGGATTTATCATTTTCTCATTTACTTAGAATTGGTTCTGTGTGCATACATATATACATTATGTATATAGAGAGAGATAGGAGTGGAAGGGTCATGTGACACATAATGATATTTTAGTAAGGATAGACCACATATACTTTGGTGATTCCAAAACATATTGCCTCAGCCAGGCATGGAGGAGTGCATGTCCAGCCTGGGCAACTTAGCAAGACCCTATCTCAATGGGGATTTAGCTCAGTGGTTTCACCGCCTGTTGGGCAAGCGCAAGGACCCAAGTTCAATCCCCAGTACCAAAAAAAAAAAAGTCAACAATGGAAGATGCTATCTCAAAATAAAAAATAGCCTGCATTATAGCTTAGCTCAATCCCTTGTGCTGAAAAAAAAAAAAGATTATATTGCCCTAAATTGTCTGGCATACATAAGACAGCTCTGGGTTCAATCCCAGCACCACACACACACACACACACACACACACACACACACACACACACGCACAGATTATCTCACCTAGTGACATGGTAGTTGTCTTTGTGTAAATGGACTCTATACTGTTTCCACAAGGTTGAAATCACCTAGTGACACTTTTTTCAGACTACTTCCCTGTTGTTAAGCAATCTATGACTGCATGTATATACTATAAATGTGTGTAGATATATAGAACTATATGCACACACATATATAGTATGTGTATATATATTTATATGTATATTTTACCTTTTTTTGGTACTAAGAATCAATTTAGGACCTTGTGCTTCCCAGGCAGGTGCAACGCCACTGAGCTACATTCCTGGCCCTATGTACATATTTTAATAGTACTCAAAATAGTATTCAATCATTTTTTAAATATTCTCAGCCTTTTTTAAAGTTTTTTTTTTTGAGACAGGGTCTTTCTGTGTAGGTCAGACTGACCTTGAACTCACTACATAGTCCAGGGTGGCCTCAAACTCACGACAATCCTACTACTTCAACTTCTGAATGCTAGGATTACAGCTATGCACCAGCATGCCTGGTTTCCTTTTTTAAAATTCTGAGTTAGGGCCTTGCTAAATTGCTAAGTTTTCCAGATTGGGCTCAAAATTGTAATCCTCCTGCCTCAGCCTCCCAGAGTGCTGGGATTTACAGGCTTAATAAACACTTAGCCTCTTTAGGGAACAGAGGTTGAAAAATGATTTTTTTTCTTTTTTTTTTGGTATGGGGATCCAACTGGGGACCTTGGGCTTGCAAGACAGGCAGCAGAACCACTGAGCTAAATTCCCAGCCCTTTAATGATTTGTGACATAGGTTCTTTCTAAATTGCTAAGTTGCCCTAGGGCAGTGTTAGGGAACCTTTTACAGACCAAGTGCAACCCACTTATTTATCACAAAGTGCCAACACTACAATTAAATCTGAATACTGAGTTTAGAAAAAACAACTCATAGGTTAGCATCTTTTGTTTCAGAAGAAAAACACAATAACAGAGCCTTCAATGATACAAACAGCATTTTATTGAAAGGTAAAAGTTTGCATTTGGTGTGCTTTTACACAATGTGATCCTTGCTGTTTTATGCATGCTGATAATTTGCCAAACCTTGGCTCACATTTCATTAGTTTGAGAGCAGCATATATAGCACTAAGGTCATCTGTTAGTCTGTTTCTTATATCAGATTTGATATAATTCAAAGCTGAAAACAGCTGTTCACAAGCATAAGATGATCCAAACAAAGTAAGAAAAGCAATCCCAAGTGCTTTCATTGACTTAAAAGTATTTGGTAGTGGGCCGGGGATTTAGCTCAGTGGTGCTTCACCTGGCTCATAAGTGCAAAGTCCTTAATTCAATCCCCAGTATTGGAAAAAATATTATTTGGCAGAGAATTCTACACTTTAAGGATTTCATTTTCAGAACTACCAACTATAGTGTCCTTTGTCATTCCATCACCTGCTATCTTCCCATGTTGCATGCAGGTCATAGAATTTATTTTTCCAGATAGAGCTCTCTTGAAATTCCAATAGCTCCATTTCTAGATTTCCAGAATCTAACCTGTATAAGCAGGAAAGATCAAGTTCTTCAAATCTGGCTTTATCTGGAGAAGTAAGAAAACACAAGGTTGTCTCCATCTTACGGAACTATAAAAATCCGTTACTAAAATTCTCCTTTGCAGCTGCTACAATGCTAGAAAATTCCTTTCCTGATGGCTTGTAGGATTGTCTGCAAATGTAGAATTTTCTAAATGGATTTTTAGATTTGGAAAATATTTCAACTGCCTACTTTCAAAGTCTAGGGTGATTTAGCTTGTGTGCCAGCAGTGAGGGCTCTGCGTGCCCACTGCAAAATGGATGCCATAGGTTCACCACAACTGCCTTAGGGTCTCACTAAGTCACTAAGTTGCCTGGGCTCAGCTGGAACTTGGGATCCGCCTGCCTCAGTCTCCCAAGGTGGAAGGATTATAGGTGTGCACCACTATTCCTGGCTTCCTCTTATGTATTTATTTATTTTATAATACTTCATTGTCTTTTTTTTTTTTTTGTACCGGGGATTGAACTCGGGTCCTTGCGCTTGAGAAGCAGGGGGGGAAACCACTGAGCTAAATCCCCGGCCCATTTACTTATTTATTTATTTTTATTTTTATGTTTTGGTAGCAGGGATTGAACTCAGGTCCTTGTGCTTGCGCAGCAGGCGGCGAAACTACTGAGCTAAATCCCCGGCCCTTCATTGCCTTTTTGGTCCCCATTTTTTTGGGGTACTGGGGATCGAACTCGGGACCTTGCGCTTGCAAGGCAGGCGACAGAACCATTGAGCTAAATTCCCCGTCCTTTTCATTGCCTTTTTGATGTGGCCAGGCTACTTGTCTTTTTTTTTTTTGGTACTGGGGATCAACTCAGAACCCTGTGCTTTCGATGCAGGTGCGGCACCACTGAGCTTAATCCCCGCCAGGCTACTTGTCTTGTGTGAAGTGACTAGTCTAGCTGTTTTGAGTCATGTTCCTCATTCCAGGTTTATACCTTCATATTGTGTTGGTGTTGAACTTGTTCCTTCATTCTGTAAATGGCAAATTAGATCTAATAGCTTAATTTTAAACACTTAGGAAGTGTGCTTAATAGATGATGCTGTGTATCTATCCCCCCCAGCACATTTTTTTTTTTGGTACCGGGCATCAAATTCGGGTCCTTGCGCTTGAAAAGGCTTTCTTTCTTTCTTTCTTTTTTTTTTTGGTACCGGGCATCAAATTCGGGTCCTTGCGCTTGAAAAGGCTTTCTTTCTTTCTTTCTTTTTTTTTTTGGTACCGGGATCGAACTCAGGTCTTTCCACCTGCGAGGCAGGTGGTAGGCGGCAGGCGGCAGGCAGTGGAACCACTGAGCTAAATCCCCGGCCCTCCAGCACTTTTTTTTGAGAGAGGGTCTCAGTAGCCCAAGCTGACCTTGAACTAGCGTAGATCCTTCTGCCTGAGTCTTCCGAGTGCTGAGATTATAGGCTTGTATGACCATGCCAAGTTTGATGCTGTGTACCTCTTATTGCATCTCATCAAGAACCACGTAAAGTCAAACTTTTCTACTATCAGTGATGCAACATTTAGTCACTTGTGTAAGGTGGTGGTGACAGCCAGAACTCACCTTTTGAAGTTACATTTATTTATTTATTTATTTATTTATTTATTTATTTTTGTACCAGGGATCGAACTCGGGACCTTGAGTTGGCAACGCAGGCGCTGGAACCACTGAGCTAAATCCTCAGTCCATGAAGTTACTTTCTTTTTTTTGGTACCGGGGATCGAACTTGGAACCTTGCGCTTTCGAGGCAGGCGCCGGACCCACTGAGCTAAATCCCGGCCCAAAGTTACTTTTTTGTTTGTTTGTTTGGTTTTTTTTTTTTGGTACCGGGGATCGAACTTGGGACCTTGCGCTTGCAAGGCAGGCGCCGGAACGACTGAGCTAAATCCCCGGCCCAAAGTTACTTTTTTTTAAAGGTGCAATTGCAAATAATCTTTGTGGTGACATTGGGCATCATGAGAATATACTGTTCGTTAATATTTCTTTAAAAACTTTAATGGTTGGTGGCGCTTGTCTGAATCAATTAATATTTCATTATTGGTTTCAGAATGTTGACTACTAACTCGTTCAGTTCTTATACATTTATTAGATGAGACTCTTCATAAAATGGGCTTTCCTCTATCAATTGCTGAACTGTAGTACTTTCTAAATATAACTACAGGGCCGGGGATTTAGCTCAGTGGTTCCGGAGCCTGCCTCCCAAGCGCAAGGTCCCAAGTTCGATCCCCGGTACCAAAAAAAAAAAAAGTAACTATAAATGCTTAATTTTTTCCTTTTAATTACTAATTTTCAGGGTGAGGAGTTGGTGTAATAGTCATTCAATGTGGCAAATTAGTTTTTCTTGATCTTTCTTTTTTTGAGTGTTATTATAGACTCAATGGGTTTTCCTCGGCCTTTCTCTTCTCAAGCCCATTCCTTTCTCCGCTCCTTGATCCATGGCGACTGCCACCCCTCTGCGCACTTACGCCTTTCTTTCCAAGCACGCCGCTAGGGGCCACTAACTTCCTTTACGCACCCATGCTGCTGCTCTATCTCGCAATTTATCCTTCATTACCGCCTGTGGTCTCGCTGGTGCCGACGCATCCAAGGAGCCGCTCTAGGCTTTTGGGAGGCCGTTCGCATCGCGTGAGGAAGGTTTGGACGACGCAGTCGCCTCGACGGCCCCCGGGGCGGTTAGCGCTTCCGGGGTCGAAGGGTGCGCGGGGTTGAAAGCGGGCCGCTCCGCCCCGTCCCCCTCCCAGACCAGCAGAGGCAGCAGCCGGAGCAGCCGCAGCCTGCGCCCTCTCCCGCCCGCCCTCCGCCGCCCTCCGCCCGCCCCCCGGGTCTCTTTCCCCCTTCCTCCTCCGCCCGCCTGCGGGGGCCCCCCTTGCCTTCCAGCCCGCCGCTATTGTTCCGCCTCGGCCTCCCGCGCCTCCCGCCCTTCCCCTTCCCGCCCGCTCCCCTTTTCCCCTCAGTCGCCTCGCGCCTGCAGGTAAGCTTAAAAATTTTCCTCCGCCTCCGGCTATAGCCCCTATTTCCTTTCAGGCCTTGTTTCTTGGCGGTCTCTGGCCCTACTCTCGAGCCCCGGCCTCTCGTAGTCCAGCGTTTGCGCCTGGCACCCTCACCCTGCCTGGCTGGCCATTCACGCGAGGCCCTGGTTCCGGCGCGGCCTACTAGGCCTCGCGCAAGGCCTGTTTCTCCCCCCTCCCCCCCGCCTTTTCCCGGTGGCGGCTGCGCAGGAGTCAAGGAGGGCGCGCGCGCGGTAGGGGGGGCGGCGGTGGATTTGTTGGTTGAGGGGGGTGGGGAGGCGATGGCCGGCTTGCTGGCCCGGCGGGTGAGCGCGGCTCCCCGCGGGGGTCAGGCGCTGGCGCAGCCACACGAGGAGGCGCTACTCGTCCGGCCCCTCCCCTTGGATCGCAGCGCCCCCCCCCGACCGAACCGTTTATTTCTCCCCCCTCTTTTCTAGTCGGAAAAAGGGGGGACTTTTTTTTTTTTTAAAGTGAAAAATGCTTGGATTACCCAGGGGAGGGGGGCTCCAAGTTACCGAGTTATTCGGAACATTCTTTCAGGGTAACAGATTTTGAAATGACAAAATGCCTGCCGATAAAATCCCAGAACGAGCTATTTATAGAGGAGTAATACATTGCAGGATTAACAGCTGGATTCCTGGGACGGGACACATGTATACTGACCTAGTCAGGAGAGAAAGATGACAGGATTTCTTGGAGTATTACATGGTTTGGAGTTAAAAATGCACCTTTGTGCTTTACCTCAGGAAACGGCTTCAAATTTTCAATTTTCTTGTTCTTTCGAATTTGCAGTACTGTGGCATTTATAAATGCTTCCTATTACATCGGAAAGAGAACAGTACTTAAACTGCCAGATTTTTACCGTATCTTATTAAAAAAAATAATGCTGATAGACCCAACACTCCCACCTCCTGCCAAGCATTGTTTTCCCATGAGTGAAAAGTGTCAACTTGTGGGTTTTTGGCAGCAATTAACTGTATTCTGAAAACTAGGGAAATGATGTTTTTTAGAGATGCACTTATATAATCACTTATATTCTGAAATAGCCGGGGGACAGTTTTCCATATGCAGAATAGGTGGCACCTAGTTAAGTTAAAAACGTTTTAGGGTATGTATGGGCTTTGTGGTACAGCCCTATTAAAACTGTCTGGTTGTGTGAACGTGGAAAATAGCTGTAGGAGGAGAGAGAGAGCGATGATGTTGAATTTTGAAGGGATGGCTACTTCCCATGGCATTGGAGAAATTTGACAGAACTTGGGAGATTCTTTTAAAAGCTATCAGAATTAGGTGCTAAGAATATACTGAAGACAAAAGATATATCCAAATCCAAGTTCTTTCTATACATTACTGGTTATTCCAGAACAGAACTGTTTGGAACACTGTTTCAGGGCACGAGTGGGAATACTGTCCTGGATAGAAAGCATTGCTGTTGTTTAAAACAATAACAACATACATATTTAGCAATACTGGTTTTATTTTAATTTGTTTTCTTTGAATAAAAAATGAATAGTAATGAAGCTTAATACATAGAAGCAAGGAAGAGTTCCCATGTGTAATGGTCAAGTTGGGTTGGGAGAAGGAATAGGAGAAAAGTACTTAATTGTACTTAATATATAGAGTCATATCCCAAAGGACAGCATGGAATGCTGGCATACATTGGCGATATCTCAGATAATGTCTTTTTTGGAGAGGTTGTTGACCTAAATCTTTAAAAAAAAAATCATTTAATGTCATCCATCAGTATCTGAAATTTGTAATATGGGGTGCATCTGAATTTCTTTATCTAGAAATTGATGCTGCTACTGTAAGACAATTTACATGTGTTCCCTGGCTTTCTGTTCTGCTCCCCAATAGGAAGCAAAAGGTTATTTTTTGCCCAGGTATTTCTGAATCTTTTTTGAAGCCTGTTCTGCTGAAGGACAACTGGGTGCACGTTCAGCAGTTCATTTAGAACCATTGCCAGTGAAGGGAATGTTCTTTATCCTGAGAGTCAGCAGAAACCCTCTTATTAATGTGAGCAAACTGGAAAGTCGCCTTCTGTGTGCTGTAACAGAACCTGAGCTGTAATGTTACGTAGTTGTGCTGAGTGTGTGAGTCTAGTAGGTTTAAGGAAAATAATTAGAAAATACTGATACTGGTGAAAATAACTGGGAAATAATTCCCATTTTGCTTCTCTGATTTTGGTCATGTTTGCATTTCAGTTTTTGGCTTTGACCCCCACCAGTGACCAAAGACTTGACCACTCAAAGTCCAGCTCCCCATAATACTCAACATGGACACCGGTGTGATTGAAGGTGGATTAAATGTCACTCTCACCATCCGGCTACTTATGCATGGAAAGGTATGCACCAATTTGGGAAATTGGGTCATAGTAACTGCTAAGGGAGGAGGCAGGAAGAGCAGACCTGCATCTTGGAGCTCATCAGATTAGCACTGTGGGACATCTGGCTTTAGCACTCTTCTCTAATGAATTAATGTGAAAGTGGTAGGGAAATGGACAGATTCTAGTAGGAAGCTCCACTGAACAGGAAAGGCTTAGCTAGAGGTTAGAGCCAAAGACCACTTCTTATCTGGATGGCAAGATTTTTCTAATGGATCTTGCTATAACTTACAGATTTCCCAGGTAATTTTAAGGAACATTAAGGGGGGCATAGTTGGTATTTTAAAAAATAACTTAATGTTAAATACAAAGGCATGTATTTAATCACTCTTGTATGATTAGTCCTTCAAAATTCAACAGCTTCACTTTTTTTTTTTTTGGTACCGGGGATTGAACTGGGGACCTTGCAGTTTTGAGGCAGGCAGAGGAACCACTGAGCTAAATCCCCGGCCTAGCTTCACTCCTAATGATAGCTTCACTTTTGAATTCTTCTTTTTTTTCACTCTTGAATTCTTGAGTGAAGAAAAGAACAAGCTGCCCCCCCATATATGGTAAAATTTTTTCATCCTTTGAGGGTAGTATTTAGTTAGTATAGGTAGCAGTTGGTTAGCTGAACAGTTAGAAATTACTTTTTTTGGGCTGGGGATTTAGCTCAGTGGTTTCGTTGCCTGCTGTGCAAGCGCAAGGACCGGAGTTTGATCCCTGGTACCAAAAAAAAGAAAAAGAAAAAGAAATTGCTTTTTTTGTTTGTCTGGGTTTGTGGTTTTTTTGGGGTGGGGTGGGGTGGACAGAGTCTTGCTATGTAGTCCAGGTTGGTCTTGAACTCAAAGCAATCCTCCTGCCTTAGCCTCTTGAGTGCTAGGATTACAGGCGTGCCCCACTATGCCCAGCTAGAAATTACTTTTTGTTTTGAGACAGGGTCTCACTGTGTAGTTCAGGCTGGCCTTGAACTCACTATGTGCCCAGGCTGGCCTCGAAATGTCAATGATCCTCCTGTCTCAGCCTCCAAAGTTCTAGGGTTACAGGTGTGTGCCACCACACCTGGCTGAAATTACTTTTCATGATAATGAATGTTTTTGAGTTTCCTCTTATTGATACTAGTTTTGTCCATTGCAGGAAGTTGGCAGTATCATCGGAAAGGTGAGAACATTTTTCTTCAACTGAAATAACTATTTAGTCACCCGGGGTTGAAATAGCAATTTGAGCTCATGCTTGACTTTTACTTTTACAGAAAGGAGAGTCAGTTAAGAAGATGCGCGAGGAGGTAAGTTATGTGGGACTTTGGGGTTGTTAACCTTGACAAGTGAAAAACGTGAAAAACAAGTGATGATTTCATGGGACGATCTCAATAGGGAAAGCCTGTCTTTTTCTGATTCTGTTTGTTTTTTGTTTTTACTGTGCTGGGGATCAAACCTGGGGCCTTGAACATGTTAGGCAAGTGCTCCACCACTAAGCTATATTCCCAGCCCTGGCTCAGATTTTTTTTTCTTTTTTTTTTTCTTTTGAGACAGGGTGTTTCTATGCAGCTCAGGCTGGTCTCAAACTCGTGATCCTCCTGCCTCAGCCTCCCCAGTGCTGGGAATACAGGCATTCGCCATCATGCCCAGCTGTGGCTCAAGATTTCTGTAATGACACTGTGCTGGGAAATAATTTTCTGACAGATCTCAGAAGTAATTCAAAACTTGAGGCAGCTAGTCTAGACTGTATTCAAGGACAAACATGGACAGGCTTAGAAATGATGCTGACTTTTTTATATGTAGGCAGTTTCTTGTCCCTGTATGTATCCTGTACATTGTCAGATATTTTTCAGTAGTTAAAGTACTTTTGTTTCTTTTCCTTATGCAGAGTGGTGCACGTATCAACATCTCAGAAGGGAATTGTCCTGAGCGAATTATCACTTTGGCTGGACCCACTAATGCCATCTTCAAAGCCTTTGCTATGATCATTGACAAACTGGAAGAGGTTAGTTCTTCCTTCTCTGTTTTTATTTTTTATTATTTTCTTCCAGTAGGGGTGATACTGTGTTGCCTAAACTGATTTCAAAACTCCTGGGCTCAAGAAATCCTCTTGGGGCCTGGGGATTTAGCTCAGTGGTTCCACCCCCTGCCTCAAGCGCAGGGTCCCAAGTTCGATCCCTGGTACCCCAAAAAAATTCCTCTTAACTTAGTCCCTTATAGCTGGGACTATAAGAATGTAGCACTTGTGGCGGTGCATGCCTGCAATCCCAGCACTCGGGAGCCAGAGGTTGCCTTTGGTTCAAGGCTAGCCTGGGCTACATAGTTCAGGGCCAGCCTGAACTACAAAGAGAGACCTTGTCTCAAAAAACCAAAAAAAAAAATGAAGCCCTATACCCAGCAGAAAAGACACTCTTTTTTGTTTTGTTTTGGTTTTAGTTTTTATTTATTTAGCTGTGCTGGGCATCCACCATGTTAGGCAAATACTCCCCCTCAGAGAATGCTCCAGCCCCTTTAAAATTTTCCTTTTCTTTCTTTTAAATTTCTTGGCCAATGGTTTTGAAGTTATACCATTGCTGCTTCAGTGAACTTTATACTCTAATTTAAAAGTTGAGTGAACTAAATTTTTTTTTTTTTAATTTTTTTTTTTTTGGTACTGGGGATTGAACTCCGGTCCTTGTGCTTGCACAACAGGCAGCGAAACCACTGAGCTAAATCCCTGGCCCAAGTGAACTAAATTAATGTGCTTTTGTTAGGAGTCCTGCCAGACACTATACAGTTCCAACTTTGGGTTCTGTTATAGTAAATGTGTGTGTATCTTTAAAAAAGTACACACACACAGACACTAGTAATGTGTTGAGATTATACTTGGAAGGAGAGCAGTAGGTTATCAGAGGCAAAATAACCATGCCAGGGGTTTTATTAGACCTCTCCCCCCCATCAAAGCTTCAGAGTCTGAACATCCATTGTCATAGGTCACGTGCTCAGCTTCTCTCCGTTTCTCCCTTAATGCATCTAGTTGAAGAGTATTGCTTGGTTAGTGGTTGGTTAATGGTGCCTGAAATCTTATCTAGAGCACAATTTTAATTTTCCTTAGGTTTAAACAGCTTTGTGCATGCTGGCAAGTGCTGTATCACTGAGCTACACTCTAGCCCTAGAAAGGGCAGGACCCTGTTAATCCAGAATTGGTGGCTTAAATAACATGGGAAACATACTGTTTGTTGAAGGAAGAAACATGCTTGACTTAAGGGTCTTAAGTAGCTTCTCAGTCTTCACTATGACCTGGAGATTAGGCTGAGAAGTGATATTCAAACCACTTAATTTGTTTTTTAATTTTTTTTTTGGCCTGGTACTGAGGAATGAACCCAGGTCCTCTGCACTAAGCTACTTCCCCAGCCCTTTTTTGTTACTTTGACTCAGAGTGTCACTAAGCTATCTAGGTTGGTCCCAAACTTGAGGATCCTGCTGCCTCATCCTTCCAGAGTGCTGGGATTACAGGCACATGGCCCCATGCCTGGCCCCACATAATCTATAGAAGGTTAAACTTTTGTTTTTGAGACTGCATCTTACTACATAGTTCAGGCTGGCCTTGAATTCACTACCCCAGGCTGGCCTAGTGCTGGGATTATAGGCATGTACTGTCATATCCTATAGACTTTTTTCTTTTAACAAGGTTTCTAAGTTGCTGTGTTACGCAGGCTAGGTAGAACTGTGATCCTCCTGCCTCAGCGTCCCGTAATGCTGGGATCACCAGTGTACCGAACTAAGCTTGGCTTTTTAAATTATTTAACAAGCCTGTGACTTGTCTTTTCAAATTTTTTTTTTGTACCGGGGAATCGAACTCGGGACCTTGTGCTTTCGAGGCAGGCGGTGGAACCACTAAGCTAAATCCCTGGCCGAGGCCTGGCTTTTTTAAACTTTGTAATCTTTAGTTTCTGTAAGACCACAGACTTGATTTGAATTGGGTTACAATAGTTCATCTTTTGTGTGAGTGATATTGTGCATGTTGAACCTAGACCCTCACACTAAACTACATCCTCAGCTCTTTTTAAAATTTTGAGACAGGGTCTTGTTAAATTACCCATATGGGTAATTTGCATCCTCCTGCCTCAGCCTTCTAGAATTCTTGGATTACAGGCATATCACCATGCTCAGCTTGTCTAGCGCCTTAGATCACATAGCTACACTACCACATGACTCAGCTTATCTTTTTCACTGATTGATTTAATGTTAACATAAATGTTTTTCCTATTGCTTATTCAACTCTTAATTTGTAAAATAATTGCTTTTCTCTTATCAAGTGCACTTTCCCAGGATGAAGGAAAATAAATTTAATGCTGTATTGTTTTCTTTTTTTTTTTGTACTGGGGATCGAACTGAGGACCTTGAGCTAATGAGGCGGGCATGGTACCACTGAGCTAAATCGTGGGCCCAAATTTGCGCTATTTCTGAGGGAGTTTGTTTTGGTTTTTTTTATTTTTTGGTACCAGTGATTGAACTCAGGACCTTGCGCTTGCGAGGCATGTGGCGAAACCACTGAGCTAAATCCCCAGCCTTTCTGAGGGAGTTTGTAAAAAAGTTTTCTTCACTTTAGTTTGTTGGGGATTTGGTATTTGAAGCTTGTCAGTTTAGTTAATGACATGACTTGTCTTGTACAAAATCAAGATTCTTGTAAGTGGTTTATTTATGGAAGTTATGGGTTCTCAGGGATCTGTTTAAGCTTGTCTGTCTGGTATCCTAATTTTTTTTTTTTTTATAGGACATCAGCAGCTCTATGACCAATAGCACAGCTGCCAGTAGACCCCCAGTCACTCTGAGGCTGGTGGTTCCTGCTAGTCAGTGTGGCTCTCTCATTGGAAAAGGAGGTTGCAAGATCAAGGAAATACGAGAGGTATTTCTTCCTATAGCTTGCATTAGATGAGAAGACTTAACTAAAGTAACAATCTGGGAAGACCAATGTATACTGGTAATAAAAGTTACTATACAATTGATTGCTTTAACGTATCTCATAGATAATTGTTTAATTAATTTGTATGCTGGAGATTGAACCTAGGGTCCTAAGCATGCTAGGCAAGAACTCTTGTACTAAGCTGCTTGTGCCAGTCCTTTTGCTTTCCTCCTTCCTTTTTGTTTTTTCTAATACTGGGGATCAAACTCAGGACCTTGCACTTTCGAGCCAGGCGGCAGAACCACTGAGCTAAATCCCTGGCCCCCTCCTTTCTTTTTTTAAAATTGGCCAGTCGGGTCTTAACACCTGGACGCAAACAATCCTGCCTCATCTTCCTGAGTATCTGAGACTACATGTGAGCACCACTGTGCCTGGGTCAATTCATGTTTTTTTGTTTGTTTTTCCAGTTCATAAATTTTAATACCAACCACAGCTGGGAGTTGTGGCACACCTGTAGTCTGGGAGGCTCAGGCAGGAGGACTGTAAATTCCAGCCCAGGTTGAGGAGTTAGTGACTTAGGGAGACCCTGTCTCAAAAAGGGCTGGAGGTGTAGTAGTTGAGTGTGAAGGTTCATTTCTTACTGCCAAAACACAGAATGACCAGAATATGCGAAAGTTTACTAAAATTTCCAACTCTTGCACATAATTTCCATTTCTTTTTTTTGTTTTTGTTTTTGGTACCGGGGATTGAACTCGGGACCTTGTGTTTTCAAGGCAGGCCCCAGAACCACTGAGCTAAATCCCCAGCCCATAATTTCCATTTCTTTTGTAACTTTGCATAGTTTTGTAACTTTCCCATGAGGCTGTATTTTTCATAATCAAAGTGACAATAGTTTGATATGTAATTATATTTTCTTGGCCAAACTAACCACCAAGGGGAAAAGGGGGAGGTACATTAGGATACAATTGGAACCCTATTCGTTTTTTTTTTTTTTTGGAGGCCAGGTCTTGCTACGTAGTTCAGGTTGTAGCCCAGGAAGGCCTTGAACTCACGGTGATCCTCCTGCTTCAGCTTCCCAAGTGATGGGATTACAGGCATGCGACACCACTTCCTGCTTCTTACTCCTTTTTTTTTTTTGGTACCAGGTATCAAACTTGGGACTTTGCGCTCGTGAGGCAGGCGACGAACCACTGAGCTAAATCCCTGGCCCATTTATTCCCTTTTTAATAATGGCAGTTGGGTTGAATTATGGAAGTTTTTAATTGTATCTGGTTATTACCAGAGTTGGTGTTGGGATGAAGCCTGAATAATTTCTAAAGAAATTTTGTTGGTGTCTTGGGAACCTTGTAAATGCTGTGAGAACAGGTGTTGGTTTTGTTAATATATCAGAAAGTATTTGAAATGGTGCCTGGCACGTAGAATGGGCTTGACATTAATATTTGTTGGATAAACAAATGAGAGGTGAATAATATTTGTGGAGATTGTTGTTTTCCTATCTTTTTTAAAAGGTTTTTTTTTTTTTTTTTTTTTTGAGTTAGTGTATTGCTGTGTAGTGCAGGCTGGCCTCAAATTTGTGGTGATCCTGCCTCAAGTGGCGGTATCACAGGCATGTACCATCATGCCTGGTTTGGCCCATGGAACTAACACTTGCTGAGAGGATACTGTGTAGGACCTTTTTCTTGAGAGTAGGTTAAATTTAGGCTGTTATTCAGGGTTACTCTTGTCTTTCAGAGGCAAATTTATTTTTAACTTCATTAAACTACTATCTGGAATAAGGGAATAGTAGGAAGGAGGAGATGGGATAAATTTGTGGCTGGCAGGAATTGGAAGAACATGAGTTGTTTCTGATTTTCAATTTCTTCTTACCCAAAGAGTACAGGGGCTCAGGTTCAGGTGGCAGGGGATATGCTCCCCAACTCAACTGAGCGGGCTATCACCATTGCTGGCATCCCGCAGTCCATCATTGAGTGTGTCAAACAGATCTGCGTGGTCATGTTGGAGGTAAGCCCTCAGGCTCATGCTGGGAGTGGGGGGAGGGTGATTCTGAGGACAGAAGAACTGATCTATATTTAGTAAGACTAGAATTAGGTGAAGCTCTTGGAAACCTCCAATGGGGGATGGGGAAAGATGTTCCCTGCGTTCATATTTTCCTTCCCCCATCTTTGATTTTTAATTATGGTCTGTGCAAAAATAGAAATGGCTAAGCAGCAATGAACTTTTGGTTCATAGCAATTCTAGCAGAATTGGTAGGGGAAGATGGGAAGATTGACTACTTGGACCTAGTGGAGAAAAGCTGCATTTAGGTTCCTGAAATGCTAAGTTGCTTTTGCAATGCTGCATTTGGTTACAAGGAACTTTCACACATTCTTTAATTTCTTTTCTTTCTTTTTTTTTTTTTTTGGTACTGGAGATTGAACTTGGGACCCCTGCGCTCAAGAGGCAGGCGCCAGAACCACTGAGCTAAGTCCCCAGCCCACATTCTTTAATTTCTTAATTAAAAAAGGACATAGAATGGCAGTTATATTAGAATTAAAAAATAGCCGGGCATTTAGCTCAGTGGTTTTGCCGCCTGCTGCGCAAGTGCAAGGACCCAAGTTCGATCCCTGGTACCAAAAAAAAAAAGAAATGTATCTATAGTGTTGTGTTGTCACACACCCACCACCACCACTACCACCACAAATTGAACCCACGGGCTTCACATTGAGCTACAGCACTTCCTGTCCCTCTTATTTTATATTGAGGCAGAGTGTTGCTAAGTTACTGTGTAATGTAGCCCAGGCTGGGTTTGAACTTGTGTTCCTTCTGCCTCAGCCTTCAAGAATGATGGGATTACAGGCATGTGCCACTGTGTTTCTGAATGCCTTATGAGTTCCTGTTTAATACTGTTAGTCTATTAAAAGGATAGCAAAATTAAGGGTAGTTAAACTGTTTTTAGAGTTCCATGGGGTTGGTCCTTTCAAAAAAGAAAGTTTAATTTCCAAGTAGAGTATAGAAAAATCTTCATTGAAAACTTTGAACTATTTACAGATGGTATGTGTATTAACCAAGCCATAATACTTGGGTTCTTTATTTCCTGTTCAGACCAAAATGTAAGTCCTAAAAATTGCCAACTAAAATATACATGTGGGGCTTGGGGATTTAGCTCAGTAGTTCTGGTGCCTGCCTTGCAAGCGCAAGGTCCTGAGTTCGATCCCCAGTACCCAAAAAAAAAAAAAGTACATGTGGAAGTATTTCCTGCTTATAAAATTTATTTTATAATGTGGACTAGTGCCTAGAATTATTTAAGGGGTATCTGCCTTGAGAATAATATAAGCTTTGTAGTCCATGGACTATTTTAAGGCTTAAAAGTACTAGGCCGGGTATGGTGGTGCATACCTGTAATTCCAGTGCTTGGGAGGCTGAGACAGGAGGATCGCTCTGAGTTCAAGGCCAACCTGGGCTATATGGTGAGCTCAAGGCCAGCCTGAACTAAAAAAATGAGACCCTGTCTCAAAAAACCAAAAAATGAGGGTGGGGGATACTGTGGGTAATTTGAGATTAGATTTAGCCACAGACAACTTGCTGGGCAAAGGGATGAAAATAAAAGATTTTAATTTAACTGACCTGTGTGTGCTAAAGCCACACAGCTGAAGCAGCTTTGAAACCTTATCTCTTTTTGTTTTTTTCCCCTCTGACTCTCTCCCAGTCCCCCCCGAAGGGCGTGACCATCCCGTACCGGCCCAAGCCATCAAGTTCTCCAGTCATCTTTGCAGGTGGTCAGGTAAGAAAATTCTTATTGGTGGGCTACAGTGAACAGAGATTATATTTCAAATGTCAGCTTTGCCAGCAGTACACCAGACCCACTCTGCATGCTTGCTGAGACCTATATCCTGGCATAATATGACTTGCTTCTAGTTTGATTTTTTGTACTGGAGAAAGCCTTGAATGCCAAGCCCTTATTTAATTTTTAGCAGGCAATGGAAGTTTTGTAGGCACTTGGAAGAGGTAACTTATTTGGTAATTTAAGGTGGGTTGTGGTTTAGAACAAAGTTAAATTGCCTTGGTGTCACTACTTCTGTCCCTGTTCCCACTCCATCCATGCTTTTGTATGTATGGGGTAATCTTTAGAGGCCTGAGTAAAGGTAGTAGAATTGGACCTCTGAAGGAGATCTGGATGCTGGTCTCAAATTGAGGACTCCTGAACTTGAGTGCCCTACAAACTTCCCCTTCCCTCCACCTCACCTCCCCTATTCCTACCCCTTCATTCCCAAACTCCAGTGTGTTGTCCCTCAGGCTCTTCCTTGTAAACACTGGTTTGAACCCATTTGGCATAACACATCAGCTGGGATAAAAGTTCAGCGTGCCAGAATAGGGGGGAGAGCATGTTGGGCTGTGGTGCTGTGACCTTTGGTGTTAGAGCAAGAACACCAAAGCACTCCCTTGACCTGCTCCTTCTTCACCAACCTAAACTCTTCATCTTTGACACATGGTTTGTTCTCAAGCACCATAGTCATTTTATGCTTTGGTTAGTATTTGAGGAATAGGTAGGTCAGTTTTTAAAATACTGAGATTCAGGTTGAAACAGCAACCTTTGTTTTGGTAGCCACATGAGCAAATGCATTGCTCAAAGGGTCTTTTCCCACTTGGATCTAGCTTGTTAAATGAGAATAAGAGTCTTTAATCTATTATTTGTATTTGACCCGGAAGCCATTTAGAAGGGAAGCATAGTCTTGAAGTCTATCTCACTCACGTTTAACTGAATTGGCATAAAACTGTTGGGGAACTGAAGTTCATTATATAGTTCTTGGAGCTTCACAAGAAGTTAACCATGTCACAGTGTTATTGGGGCAGGTTAGTACCTTTCATTAGCAGTAATCTTTTATAAATTGGTTTGGTGAAAGGGCTGTCAGTCTGTATATTGGGTAGGATAAGCAAAGGCTTAGAGACAGTGTAGTGAGGAGGGTTAGCTTTAGGAATTTTCCCTTCTTACCTGGAACTCCAGGTTCCTGCTCTTCTGGATTCTCCTCCATTTGGAATTCAAAGAAGTCCCATGCTGTGTGGCAGCAGTCTTGTCTACTTAAGTTCTTCCCTTTTTCCCTTCTCTTCCTCCCCCTCTGTACCTCTTTGCTTCCCTGCCCTCCCTTCCTTTTATTCAGTTGACCACCCTCTAATAAAGCTTGCAGCTTCTTCCATGAGTTGCCCTGTCATGGATCATTCCCATGGCCTTTTTTGTATGGACCAGTTCATACAGTGTTCACAGATGGACCTGTGTCTTTTGTTCCTTTGTGGGAAAGTGAGCTCTGTAGGGGTTCAGCTTAGTCCCACACTGACCAGGAGCTGGCATCGGCTGTTGTCCCACCCCTTCATTCCTAATGAAAATAACCCAATTGTGCAGTGTGAAATCTGCCACTAGGTAACTTTTTTTTTTTTTTAATTTACTGATTACAGCTCGTTTCAAATTTGTGTCGTGAGCTCCTTTTTAAAGGAAAAAGGAAAAAATAAACAACTTTTTTTGTGTGAATTTCATGCTGGTGACAAGGTGCCGGATTGACAGCCCTGGAGACTGAAATCCTCTATTTATCCACAGGACAGGTACAGCACAGGCAGCGACAGTGCGAGCTTTCCCCACACCACCCCGTCCATGTGCCTCAACCCTGACCTGGAGGGACCACCTCTAGAGGTGAGAGGGGATGTTCAGTCTCCAAGGCTCACTCAATCCTTCCGCCTCAGCCGAGACTGCCAACACGCGGGGGGCCAGTGGCGCTGGTGATTTTTATGCTGTGGACACCACCTGTCCACGGGGACCTGGACTGACCCCCCCCACCTCATTTCACACAGGCCGCGTAGCCCACCAGATGGTAACACCAACTCTTTTTTAAAAAATTTTTTATTTTTTTTTATTTTTGGTTCAACCCCTCCTCCCCCGTCCCATTCCTCCCACCCCATTTTCACCTTTCTCCCACCCCTACCTGGGTGTACTTTTGGGGGTACTGGCCACAGTGATGTGAGAAACTTCACATCCTGTTAACCAGCCAATCCTTCCTTCCCTTCCCTTTTCCCTTTTCCTCTTTGTCCCACACCCCATTGCCCTGAAGACCCAGCTCCCTTTTTGGGAGGTCATGGTGTGGTGGGAGGAGGGCGTAGTGGGAGCTGCAAGTGCCTTTTATGGAGGGGAGGTGGGAAAAGACAGGATTTAGGGCATAGTGATTTTTGTGTTCCGTGGTCAGCTCCCTAGTGTTAGGGATCCAGCTAGCTTGTAGTGTACTAAAGGTCTTTAGGCAGATGTTAGAGAAAAATACGGGAAAGGGAAGTGCTTCAAAACACATCTTGTAAGATTGTGGCAGATACCAATCATTCACAGTACCACAGTTGGTAGAAGGGTTGGGGTGGGGAGGGAAGAAACCATTTTCCCTCCTAGGCTGTCTTTTATGCAGGGAGAAAGAAGGGGCCTTGGTCAGTGGAGGCATTGCTTAATCTCATTTCCCACATTTTCATTAAGAACCAGATAAGTGTATTTTGCCTTCATTGCCGGGAACTTGGCTACCTTTATAGGATCCCTGGAATAAAGTCACTTTCAAAGAAGGCCAGTTTGGGTCTGACTGTATATGTGAGAGTCCATCTACTGCCTCAATCCCTGGCCGCCCCATTCTCTAATTCACCTCTGGCTTCATGGCTAGTTGAAATCTTGTTTCCCTCCTCCCCCTCCCACTGGGTGGCTGTCCATGATTGGTTTTTAATAGGAATTGTTTTCCTCCTTTTGTAGGCCTATACCATTCAAGGACAGTATGCCATTCCACAGCCAGATGTAAGTTTGGTTTTTACTTCTTGTTTTGAAATGTCCCTCTCCCATCCAAAATTGTCTTGACTCCTTTCTCCCAAGTAGCCCGAAATGAGTTGGGTCTTAAACATTGGCAGTATTGTTATCTTCTGAAGGTGAACTACCTATTTTGGCCCTTAAATAATCTTTAACCAGTGCTTAGTAGAATTTTGTATGCTTTTTGACATTTAACCTCTGGAAATTATTGCCTTCTACTTTTTTCCATGTTTCAGATTACTTTATCTAAAAGAGGTGTTCCATGGTTTACTGTCATTTGTCATCTCAGGGCACGGTTTAAATTAACAGTGAACTGTGCTTCCTTGTGTAGAGTCTTCCTTTTCATGGGGAGGGGTAGTGAAATACTGGATGTGCCCTTGGGTACTCCTCAATATGAGGTAACAATATTTGGAGTGGGTTTGGAGGGCTTTACTGATCAGGGAAAGAAAAAGGAAGTTGAACATTTGGGAATTCAACTCAGTAAAACTTTAACACTAAAAACTTATTTAAAAGTGCTGGTATTTAGACCTTGTTTAAGGGCATTTCTTTCTGTATTCTTCCTTTATTCTTACTAACCTTTTTAGGTGCTGAGCACATTAGACTTGGAAAGTTGAGACTGGCTCTTGGTTAGTGTAGGCCCCAGGAGAGGGAAGTAGATCTGAGGAGGGATTGTTTTACAATAGCCAGGTTAGTTTATATAGGTGAATAAAAACAGCTGTAGACATCAGTGGTGTGTACTAAACCCAGTTTGCTTTCTTTCTAATCTCTCTTCTTGCAGTCTCCCTGCCCTCCTCATTTCCTTCCCTATCCCTAACACTGGCAGAACCCTGCATGGTGTGTTTTCCCTAGCACCACTGCACAGTTTGTTTACCTAGCCTGTCTATGCTTGTCCCTGGGGCAACTGTTGCAATGGCTGCAAACACTGATTAAGTAGCACACAAGGGGATGGTTGTTGGGCGGGAACTGTTGCTTTTCTTTCACATACCCAAGATACATTCATTCTCTTAAACTTAACACTTTTTTCTGTTTTAACCCTTACCCTTCATATTCTGCCCATCCCTAGGATTATGTTCTAAGGCCAGTACTTGCCCTCCATTGTAGTTGTAGTACTTTGGATCAGGAGTTCTGCATTTTCACACTGAACATACTTGAGCCCTGGCTTTATTACTCTTCTAATGCCAACCTCTCCCATTCCTTCCTGCAGTTGACCAAGCTGCACCAGTTGGCAATGCAACAGTCTCATTTTCCCATGACGCATGGCAACACCGGATTCAGTGGTATGGATACCTCAGTGTTTATTTTTGTAAGGTAGAGTTCAAGACAAGAGGCCAGTCCCAAGGTCTCAGCCTGACATCTGTTTAAAACTTCATTACCCAGCATCCTGCTGGTTTAAACTTAGCCTGTCCATGGCTAAACCCAAGGAGGTAATGTGTTTGTTAACGTGGTTTTCATTTGGGTTGAGTTATTCTAAAGAAAAAAAAGGCCCTGGAAGGTTTGGGGGTGAGGTGTGGGGATGCTTGTCAGGCAAAGGGTAGGCTGATATTTCTTGTAATCCATCCTAACTCTTGCCCCCTTGATCTGATCAGCACCCCCTTTCTCTCCACCAGCTATTCACAGACTTGGGTAGATACAATCCATTGTGCCAAATTGTGTAGTGTTTTTTGTTTTGTTTTTGTTTTGTTTTTTTTTTTGGGCTTTTTTTTTCTGTGTAAGGAATAACTTGTCCGATAGGGTTAGGATGAGACCACCAAACTCATTTTCACTTGTATCTTAACAGGCATTGAATCCAGCTCTCCAGAGGTGAAAGGCTATTGGGGTAATGATTAAAAAAAAAAATCTGTAGTATTCTACTGTTATATTAATAAACTGGTGGGAGTCTTGTTTCACTGCCCATGAACCATACCAGCAACGTGCACATGGCAGAGAGGAGCTGAGAGAGCAAAGGGCTGGGCCTGATACCCCTGAGGGTCCCTTGATGGATCTGGCCAACCCCCTTCTAAAAAATGTAGTTGAGAGCAGGACTGGGTTTGTAAGGGTTAGCCAGCTGGCCTGGTCCAGTCCAGGTGTCATCATAGATGGATATGGGTATTCCTGATGGGATTTTTCTTTTTTCATTGCAAAACTAAACAAAAGCCAGAACAAATTGAGCAAAAGATGGAATGAATCTGGAGAAATGAGTTTCCCCTCACCTGACCAGCCCTTTCATTTTATCTGACCTTTAAGTCTAGGTTGGGAGGGTAGAGGGTGGAGGATGTTAATCTGATACAGGTATATTTAAAGCAACTCCGTGTGTGTGCCAAAAGTCCATGGTACCCAATTACAGGCATGATACTGGCATTGGTGCTAGTGAGCATTGGGAAAGATAAAATTGGAACACAACAGACACGGGGTGGAAGTACAGAGGGACTTGATGTGTAGATTTTGGTCCTGTCTGAGGATACCACATCCCCTGACCCCTTGCTTCCATCCCCCTATCCCTAATAGACTGGGCTTTGCAGGAAATGGCATGAAATCAGCTCTTCTAAGTGTACAGAAGAACCATTCCAGCATTATTTCTACACCCCTCTCCCCCATCTTTTCCTCCTTGGAGGCTTCCAAGTTAGTGATGAATCCCAACAGCCAATGCTGGATTTCCAGTTTTAATTTCTTTCTGTTAGTTTAATGTGCAAATCAATGTGGTTTTGAATGCTGTGCATTGAACTTTTTTGCTCTCTTCTGTCTTTTAGCAGGTTTGGATGCATCTGCTCAGACTACTTCTCATGAACTCACCATTCCAAATGATGTAGGTATAGTGGGATTGTGTGGGATGAAAATAAGAGAATTGGTTTTAAGGAATAGAAATGTCCTATTAAGCCCTAAGAAAACAAAATGAGAATTTTTAGACACCACATTAAGAATTTAAGAGTCTGTAGAGGCTGGGTGTGCACACCTATAATCCCAGGACTCAGGAGGATGAGGCAGGATTGCCATGAGTTCGAGGCCAGCTTGGGCTCCATAGTGAGTGAGTTCAAGGCCAGTCTGGACTGCTTAGCAAGATCCAGCTTCGAAGAAAAAGTATGAATTCTGCCTGATGTGGTGGCACACACCCATTATCCCAGCACTGAGGCTGAGGCAGGAGGATCACCATGAGTTTGAGGCCAGCCTGAAAATACATAGCAAGACCTGGTCTCAAAAAACAAGAGTCTGCAGAATTCTGAGCACAAACTTGATAGAGGAAATTGACAAAACTATTATGTGGAGGTTAGCATGAGGTGTTTTTGTATCAAATATAAGGCTTTATCTTTAAAGTATTGGGTACAGTGGCCCTTGAACGCTAATTTGTGCTGTTGAACATGATAGTTATTGACCACGTGATTATTTGAAAATATACAGTCTCACTAATCACACTTCATGTGTTCAGTAACTACATATTACTGTTTATAGTATTGGACAGTGGAAATTTAAAGTAATTTCCTCTTAGGACAAAAGCTTTTGAAATTATTTAGAATTCTTGGCACTAAATATAGTGAGATGCTAACAATGGTGGATGAATTTAAGCTTCATTAATGGCCAAAACCGAAGATTCCTTTTTTTATTCCGAGCTTTTTGAAGAGCAAATGCTTGCCAGGAGTTAGTTCAAAGTTGGCTGTGATCTGAAGTTATCAGAAGGGTGGGTCAGAAGTTAAAATGGGAATCTAATTTTTGGATCAGGAATTTATGGTTACAGAATGTAGGATGTAGGTAGTAGTAGTTTCTGTTCCCATATTGTTAGACCAGGTTCTAGGAGCTAGAAGGGATGTAATTCTTGGATGTATCATTGCGAATCTTAATTTGGTATGCCTTTTTTTCTCCCTCAAGTTGATTGGCTGCATAATTGGCCGTCAAGGCGCCAAAATCAATGAGATCCGTCAGATGTCTGGGGCGCAGATCAAAATTGCGAACCCAGTGGAAGGATCTACTGATAGGCAGGTTACCATCACTGGATCTGCTGCCAGCATTAGCCTGGCTCAATATCTAATCAATGTCAGGTAAGGGTACCCTACCTTTTACCTTATTAATGCCAACACAGTAATACGTGTTGGAGCATTGTAGTAGATTGTCATATATGGAATTATTTTGGGGGTGGGTAGTTTATTCCTGCTTCCTTCTGTCATAGTGTAGCAGAAAAAAGGGTTGCAGTCAGTTTGCATGGGGTGACATAGATTGCTTGTATTTGATTTTTGGTTTGGGGATTTGGGGAGTGGAAAGAATGACATATGTCTTCACTAATTAGGATAGTGTTCTGGCTAGAGCAGCAATACTGACAACCCAAATATGCATTTCTCTTGTCACGTATGTATAGAACAATATATCTTTTCATTGATTTGACTTGGGGTCCAGAGTACTTTTAATTAAGAATAATGGAGTAAAGAGACAACAGAGCAGTTGTTGTGGAGACAGCCACACCATTTATTCTGAAAACATCCATTTTTCTCAAATTGCCGTATGTTCTGTTATTCAGAACTTGTGGGAAAGGGGAGGCACAGGGGTGAGAGTGTTTCAGAAAAACTAGGTATATGTTCTTCTTATTCCTCTAGTCTCATCTCTATCACTTCCTGAGGTTTTATTTCCCTTATCCCATAGGAAATGTTTATACTCAGGTTATATAGGACAATTGTCAGAAGAGCATCTTTCAAGATCTTTTAGTTTTCTTGTTCTTTCAGCTTATGTGCCTTAGTCACATTCTTAATTCTTTACTAATATTTTAAGCCAATGTTAGCAGCCGATTTCCCCAGATGCTTAGCTGTCTTTTTTTTTTTAGGGAGTATTATCTTGTCATCAACCTTTCTCATAAGTATTTAGTTTCCTCTTCATGAAAGTTTTATGTAAGTTCCTGAATTGAGTACAAGGGAAGGAATTCCTAAGTATAGTCTTCATTCTTTTTGTGCTTATACTGACTGCCATGTGTTTTTTCTAGCTAAAAATGCCATCACTTCCCAGTAGTGAACTGTTGTTTCACTACTAGTGAAGTCCTGAGTTTCCTTAAGTGTTTTTGTTTCTTGAGGTACTACTGCTAGTCTTTATGTAGAAAACTTTCATATGTCTAGATCTGTTTTGCTTACCAGCCAAGCACACCCAGTCCTTAGTATTCAGAGTAAAATAATAGTAAGTTTTTCCACAGAGGCTGTTGGTGAAGAATTATCTTCTTGTTTCTAATTAGGGTGTTGGAGAGGAGTTTTAGTGGCAGAAATTACATTCTTAGAATCTGGGAATTGTTTTCTTCTGCTTTAGGAAGACTCGTTTCCCTTTAGTGTGTTACCAGATAAGTTTGAATTGTAAATGCTTAAATCTGACTTGCTTTCCTGGCTACTGTTGTAAGTCAATGGCCATATTGTAGAGAAGCAGAAAAAGTTTGCTTAGCGCCACCTTTAGGATTAATTCTTATTTAATGTCTGGCTATTCAAGATCATCCTAATGATATAATCCAAGCTCTGGCTTTCTGTCAGAACTTTTAAAGCTTCATTTAACATGAAAACAAGGACTATGTATGTACAAAGCTTGGTCTTCATCTTCTGATCTGGGCCCAAATTGGATGCAAAAACTGGACTGGTTTTATTACTAGACAAGAAGGATTTATTTTTCATTAACGGATTCTGAGCATTTCTGCTGTGCCTCTAGTTTTCAAGGTGGCAGTCTGGGGCCTTTTCTGTAGTTAATTCTGTGCCACCTTTATGGATTGCAACGAATTCTGAAGAAAGATAAACAGAATGGAGTTTTGAGGAGTCTCCCTGCTCTGGAAGAGTTACTGTTGTTTGGAGTGTTATTTTAAGAGTAGAAGCAGCATTATTTTTGCTTTTTTAAAACATAAGTGTTTTGGTAGTGCTTGAGTTTCTTGCAGTTCCTCTAAAGCCGACATTAGACGTTAGAAGTATGTTCAGTAAAAATAGAGTTTTATACTCTGCCACCTCCTCCCACTAGGAAAGCTCCATTTCTTATTACACTTGTGTTCTCAGTAATTTTCTTTGAAAATGCTACATTCTTTGAAGCTTGAAATTAGTGACCTACCTTGGAATCTCTTGCCCATTCCCATCCTTATACATTGGTTCATTTACTGTGGATATATAAGGAGATATTAAATAAAACAATTTTTAAAATTCCGTCTAACATTCAGAGCTTTGGAAGTAATTATTGGATAATTGATTTTTCCATTGAAATGGGTGATTGACATCTGATTGGTGGGTGAAGCATTTCTTCCTTGTTTGTAGATTGAATACTTTATTTTCTACCTCAAATTCTCTGCATAAAATCATTCCTGATTTCTGGGTTGGGTCAGTGTCTCAGAACTAGAAAGTATGTCATGTATGATTTTCTCAGTCTGTCAGCTTTTTCTTCACCAAAGCAGTTTTAAATAGTGTGCAATGGAAGGTGGCAAAGTATGCATATTTAGAGGGTGGGACAGAGGCTAGAGAGAGCTTGTTACCAGTTGATAGTAAGTCATCCTAATTGGCAATCAAAGGTACTTACTGATAGAACTGAAGAGGTTTTGTCCTGTACTTTTTCCCTTTTGTGGTCTTCCCTTCCACCCACCCTTTTTTTTGTTCCTTTTTTCCTCTGTTACAGTTTAGAAAACGCTAAACCCTCCTCCCAGGCAGCCTCCGTCACGATCCCTGATCACCTCAGCATCAACCTCTCTCAACCCTCCACCCCTTCTTCTTCTTCTTCCTCCTCCACCACCACCCCCTCGCTCGCCACAGCGGGGACCTCCGACGCACCCTCCAGCCTCCCCAACCCTCTTCCGACCGCCCCTTGTGTCTCCAGTCTGCTTGGCATGAAACCCATCCCTCTCCTGGCTCTAAATGTTGTGTCTGCTGCTAAGGGTACCGGGGCTTCAGCTACCACCACCACCACTTCTGCAGTGCCATGTGTAACTAACAAACTGAAAAGCGAGAAACAGAGATTCTCCCCCTACTGAGTGCATATCTTGAGGCACGTCCTCAAGTGTTGTTGGTTCATTTTGTTTTCCTTTGTTAATACTGGTGAGAGCCAAACTATTGTGTGCTTGTGACTGGTTTCTTTTTACTACTTGGGATAAAACTGGGTGGGGGTGGGGGGCAATGGTAAACCTTTGTTTAGGTTTAGGCCATTTCAGCTGAGTGCCTGTTTCAGTCTCACTTGTTGAATTCTTTATCTAGAGCCACAGTTCTTGATCTTCTTTCTCATTGTTATCTTTTTTTTTGTAGCTTTATTCTGCCTTGCAATATAACAATGTGTTAGGCTCTGTGTTAATGAATAAAAGCTTCTCCAATGACCTTTTTTTAAAAATTATTTAATGGTTAAGCTATCGGCAGGCCTTCCTGGCCAGATTTGTGTTTCTAGCTGTAATAAAGTTGACAGAGTAAGAACCCTAGTTTACCGTGTGCTGTGCCGGGTAAAGGGGCGGGAACTTATGACCTGTGGCTATTCAACCAGGAAATCTACACAACTGACTTGGGCATTTTTGTTTCCCAGGTTACTTTTACAATCCTTTGTCAATATTCTCACAAAGAAGTGCCTGTGTTTAGATAGATGTTGAGGGTCCTTTAACCACTGAGCAATTAGCCACTTTAGTGAACAACAATTTCTCCAGTTCCTTACCAACAGCAGCAGGGAACAAGGGTGTCCATCTCAGGCTGTTTCCTCTGGGGAGTGGTTATTGTTAGGATCTCTTCCAAGGCATACATACAAAGAGCACATTTCTCTACCCAGAATGCTAAGGCAGGGTTGGATAAGTCAGTTAAGTAGCTCAGTCTACATCACTGTGAATGAGCATTGTTCCTCTTCATGTGACACTAGGAAGATCTTGAACAATCCAACTGGTGACATTGCCCAGAACTACTAAGATGCTGACTAGTCATTCTAAAACACCTCTGAGTGGTCAGCCAAGTTCCTGTACGCTTTTATTCCCTGCCTACCCTTCACTCTCCTATGAACACTATGATGAGTAGGAAATTATGTTTAGATTTGAGAGAATCTTAGGGAACAACCAGTCTGGAATTCATCAATTCCCTCATGTAACCAAAAAAAGGTCCTGAGGGAATTTAAACTTGTAGATCATATGATTAGCCAGAAGGAGCTAACAGTTTGTGCTTTCAATTTGTGCTTTGCTTTTACTCAGTGTGTTTACTTCCTTGAAGTTTGTTGTTTTCTTTTTGCTGCTAAGCTTTGAATCAGCTTGTTGCAGTGTGCTCTACCACTGAGCTGCACACCCAGCTGCTTATTTTCTTATTCCAAGACCGGCACAGGTCTCCATGGAGGTATAGCTTAGTGGTAGATCATTTGCCTAGCAAGTATGAGTACTGGGTTTTGTTTTTTTTTTTGTACCAGGGATTGAACTCAGGACCTTGTGCGGGTGCGGCACCACTGAGCTAAATCTCTGGCCCCAGAGTACCTGGCTTTAATCTTCAGCACTGCCAAACACACATACACACAGCAGAATACCTCTGATTTTTTTTCTTCAGTCAACCAAAGTATGTATTGGCCAGGTCCTTGAAAGTATGTTCTTCTCAAGCCATCAGAGGAAAGAACTTGGTGTGCAGAATTTTCCCTCTGATGACCTGTTTCCACATTACCTTTGATTGTTAAACAAAAACTAGCTAATAGTCCAATATATTATCATTCTCTGGTATTATGGCTCTTCCCTCACAGATTGAGCCTATTGGTAGTATTATATGCTGTAAGTCTACATGAAGAATTGGAGGGGCAAACTATTGTCCAGCTAGAAGTTTTTGCTGCACTTGTTCTATAGCATATGTGGTCCAGCTCTCAGGAATTCTTGCTGTAGTTAGGATTTGTTATATTGATACTACCTCCCTCCCCTCCAGGGCTTGGTCTTTAAATTTTTTCTTTTTGGTACTGGGGATCAAACTTGGGTCCTTGAGCTTGCAAGACAGTCAGCATAACCACTGAGCTAAATCCCTGGCCCTTTAAATTTTTTCTAGTTCTGATTAGAAGGCCTTTTAACCTAATAAGTAACCCCTAAGGAAGGGTTGTTGGGAAGGAATCCAGATATTTAAGGAACTGACTACCATGACCACTTTGGTATCAATTTTTTTTTTTTTTGATGGTACTGGGGGTCGAACTCAGGACCTTAGGTCCTTGTGAGGCAGACTCCATGCTGCTGAGCTAAATTCCTAGCCCTTTGGTGTTAATTTTTTAAAAGGTTAGAGCTCCCTCATGTGGTCCTCCAATTCTAGCATCCCTATGCTTGCTTTTTTTTTTGTACCGGGGATTGAACTCTGAACCTTGAGCTTTCGAGGCAGTTTTTGGTGCTAGGGAGCCCACCTGGGTCTCATACCTGCAAGGGAAGTGCTATACCACTGAGCCACAGTCTCAGGCCTTTATGTTTCTGATTGGGTTTTTCTTTCTCTCTGCCTCCTCACCCAATACCCTACCGCTGCAAAACCCTGTCCAGGATTGATGTAAGTTCTGAACAGGTTTTTTTTTTTTTTTAACTCTACATGGGGCTAGAGTGCTACCACCTTCTTGGATAGATTGTAAACTATAGACAGAAGGTTCTTTCTTGGACCTTCAGTTCTCACTGAAACCTTTAATTCAGGGCTTAATGTTTACTTTGCTTTAGATCATCCGGTTTTGACTTCCCCCCTTTTGTTTTGGGGATGGAATTGGGTGTGGTTTTGTTTTTTTTGAGAAAGGGTCTTGATGTGTTTTAGGCTGTGTTTTTTTTGTGTGTTTTTTTTTGGTACTGGGGATCAAACTTGGGACCTTGCGCTTGCAAGAGAGGCGCCGAAACCACTGAGCTAAATATCCGGCCCCCTAGGCTTGTTTTGAACTCCCTTATCCTCCTGCTGTAGCTTACCTGGGTGCTGGGATTACATGAGTTCATACCACCACACTTGGCCAAGAATCTTCCCCTTTTTAAGAACTAAATACTCTTTATGCTGAGGAGAAGAAATAATTTTTTACTTTACAGCCCATGATTTTTTTTTTTTGAGACAGGACTTCACTCTGTAGTTCAGGCTGTCCTTGAACACTATGTGGCCCAGGCTAGTCTCAAACTTGAGGTGATCCTCCTGCCTCTGCCTCCCAAATGCTGGGATTACAGGCATGCGCCACCATGCCTGGCTAAATACAGTCCATGATTGAAGGACTCCTAATTAATAGGCTCAATTTCCTGATCCTTGGTTTCCTTCCCTTCTTGCCAGCTTTTGACTTTTAATTGTTGTGGAAGGAATGCAGATAGTGTGTTCAGTCATACTCTCTTAACCAAACACTGTATATAGGATTTTTTTTTTTTTTTGAGATAGGGTCTCACTATGTAGTTCAGGCTGGCCTTGAACTCACTTTGTAGTCCAGGCTGGCCTTGAGCTTGCCATGATCCTCCTGCCTCTAGCTCCCAAGTGCTGGCATTACTGGCGTGCGCCACCACACACAGGACTAATCGATTTTAGATCTTTCATGAAGTAACTTTATGAACTGAAACCTCCTCTTATACACATTGGTCTAGTGAAAATCTAAGCCAAGTCTTTCCAGGTCCCTAATATCAATGAATCATACAGTGCATAAATACCTTTCCCTTAAATCCCTAAACTGAATTTCATGATCTGTTTGATATAGAAAGGAAGGCCAGATATGTTTAAATGGAGAATTTGGCTCAGTGAGAAGACCATAGGAATTAGGGAGTTACTAAAAGTGACCTAGGGTATGGAAACAAAATTTTTTTTCTCTTACTCTTAAGTATGAGAACAATAAAGTATTGGCCTATTGGGTTTTTTTTTTTTTTTTTTTTGGTACTGGGGATCGAACTCGGGTCCTTGCACTTGCACAGCAGGCAGCAAAACCACTAAGCTAAATCCCTGGCCCTGTATTGGGCTGTTGTTACTCTGCTTGGTGTTCCCTGTTTAACATCCGTTAGCATTCAAAATTCTGTTACTTCATAGGAATATCTGTCACATAGAGGTACAGGAGGCTATACTAAAGGCTTCTTGTAGTGTCTTAAACATTACTCTCACAAGGCTACTTTCAGCTCTGTTTTTTCTGAATGGCTGTTCTGTTAGTGTGTTAGCACGTGGGAGGTTAAGTAGATAAATAGGTAAGCATCACATTTGTATATCCATACTCCCCAAGAAGGGTCTTTGTTAATAATAGTGGCATATCTCCAGAAAGCCATTAACGTTTCAGAGAACATAGATTGAAGGACTTCTCCATGGTTCTCTTTTTCCCTCTATTATGAGATAATTTGCCTCAGGAACCTTAGATTGTAGAAGTTTAAAAAAGGATCATGGTCCAAATTAGTCTAAGAAACGTTTAAATGTCTCACTTGATACTGAAGTGCTGATATGTGCTCCTTTTCATTTTACCAGTCAGGCTGAAAGTTAGAGGTGAGGGTTAGCTGGGCACTGGGAATACTAACTTTGAGTTCTTGTTTGTTTGTGTTACAGGCTTTCCTCCGAGACGGGTGGCATGGGGAGCAGCTAGAACAATGCAGATTCATCCATAACCCTTTCTGCTGTTCACCACCACCCATGATCCATCTGTGTAGTTACTGAACAGTCAGCGATTCCAGGTTTTAAATAGTTTGTAAATTTTCAGTTTCTACACACTTTATTATCCACTCGTGATTTTTTAATTAAAGCGTTTTAATTCCTTTCTCTGTTCAGCTGTTAATGCTGAGATCCATATTTAGTTTTATAAGCTTCTCCCTGTTTTTTTTTTTGGTTTTGGTTTTTTTTTTTGGCTCATGAATTTTTGTTTGTCATGAAAATGTAAGAGTGGAATATTAATACATTTCAGTTTAGTTCTGTAATGTCAGGAATTTTTCAAAAAAATTAAAAGATGGACTGGAGCTTTTTCTTTGTGAATAGAAACTGGATGCCACAGTGATCCATGTGGGTTTTATTCCTGTTGTCTTGCTATTTGTACCTTTTATCCCTCAGGAGCCTCTTTGGGTTTTGAATAGAAGCTTTTATTCCAATAATGATTTTCTTGTTTTAGCACTCCATGTTTTTTATTCACCCTTAATCTTTCCTATAATCTAGTACTGGTTGGCCCTTGTAAAGTTTATGCCCAAAAACAGCATTAGACTTTCCTAGGACTGCTCTGTAGAATAGGCAAGCACTTTGGGACGGGGTGCTCATTGGATACATATGGAAGTAGTCTGTCCCCTTGTTCAAGCTTGTGTATTTTAAACTAAAACCTTTAGTTTCTTGGTGTTAGTAACGGCCCAAGTGTGGTCTCTAAAAGAATATTTCAGATCTACTTCCATCTTTATCATTTAGAAAATTAGCTGGTTCCATTCATGCTTACATTTTTA